GTCATTGATGAGCAGTTTGCACAAAAAGAGGAATGGACTGAACTGTGCGACACACTAGCTTCAAAACTAATGGCTGCTGGTAATACTCTGGCAGCAACTCTTTGTTATATATGTGCGGGTAATATTGACAAGACAGTGGAGATTTGGTCAAAGAGCTTGGCAAATGAACAAGAGGGAAAATCTTATGTTGATCTTCTTCAGGTAAGTTTCAACTTTCAACTTCAAGGAAATGCATTCATACTTGAGTTGTCTGGCTAGAAATGTGACAAAGTTGTTTGTTTTTGTAGGATCTGATGGAAAAGACGATTGCCCTTGCTTTGGCAACTGGGCAGAAACAATTCAGTGCTTTTCTCTGCAAGCTTGTTGAGAAATATGCTGAAATTTTGGCTAGTCAAGGGCTTCTAACTACAGCTTTGGAGTGCTTGAAACTCCTGGGATCTGGTGAATTGTCACCTGAACTTGTGATCTTAAAAGATCGCATCACTCTGTCTACAGAATCTGGTATGTGCTTTTACTGATGCCTAATGATCATTGTACATACAAACTGGCTATGTGAGCTCCTGGTGCACATTTATGGTTACAAATGTTAGTGGAGAAAAGCCTGTAATGTACTGTGCCTGCTGAGAATTTCTTCTTTTATAATTGCAGAGAAAGAAACTAAATCCACTGCTTTTGATAACTCTCAACTGCACAGTGGATCAGTCTTTGAGCCTTCACAGCAAATTTATCAGGTGCTTTATCTGGCATTTTTGTTTTTTGTGATGTGCCTTTGGCTCATTGTTCTTTTATATACCGTTTCCTTACTGTGAATAACTTTATTGGTTTATTTTTATGTTATTGCTCAGGATTCGGCTCCATTACAAATTCAACGAAGTGTTCCTACTCCTTACAATGATAACTTTCAACATCCTTTTTCTTCCTATGTGGGAGGGTATGCTCCTCCTGCTACCTATCAACCACAGCCACCACCTGCTACTTATCAACCACAGCCACCACCTGCTACTTATCAACCACAGCCACCACCTGCTACTTATCAACCACAGCCACCACCTGCTAATGTTTTCATGCCATCACAGGCTCCTCATGTTACACAGGTATTTTGTATCTTTTTGTTTCCTGTGTAAAGTAGCATAGTGACAGTGAACTGCAAAGCAGTGTTATTCTACTTAATTATTTGCTTTAGTTTGAATGGTTGAGAAGTGGTAAGAGATGTGTTTTAATTTTGGTTCTGGAAAACTAGAGTGTAGAGCCTGAATAAAATGGATCCATAAATTTGTACCATACACGTCTAAGCTTGATTTTTCTACAAGCTGTTTCAATTGTCTTTGCTCTCAAATTTTGCTTGCTTATGAGTGTCTTGTTGTCCACACCATGTTCTCTCTTAATGATATATTACTAACAATTTCTTTCCTGAAGGTGTGGTATTTGTTTAACTTGCTGTAATTATTATAAGCTAATGAGTGAGAATCGTTCTTTTGATTCTTGCCTAAAGTGTTTTTAATTTATTCCCTCCAGGCAAATTTTGGTCCTCCACCTGCCACCACACAGCCTGCAATGAAAGCTTTTGTTCCTTCCAACCCTCCTGGCCTAAGAAATGCAGGCCAATTTCAGCAGGCACCCACATTGGGTTCTCAGTTATATCCTGTCTGTATAGTTACTTGATTTCTTTTTGGAAGTTTTGGACAAGTTTATGAGGCTGTTATTCTAAATGATTGCCTGTCTTGATGTTTCAGGCTGCTACAAACCCTACTTACCCTGTTCAACCAGGGCCTTCTTCACACAGCCCCATCCCTTCACAAGGGGGCTCAGTTCCTGGGCTGAAAATGCCACAGATTACAGATCCCACAACAACATCTAGGGCTTTTGTGCCAATGACAATGCAACCATCCAGCCCTACACAGCAACAATCAGTACAACCAGCTGTGGCACCTGTAGCTCCACCACCAACTGTGCAGACTGTTGATACTTCAAATGTACCTGGTAAATGCTAGTCTCTTGGTTGATTTTTTTTTCTTTTCTGTGTGTGAGTTAACGTCAGATTTGCTGTTGTGAATGCAAGCTAGATCTGTTTATGCATTGCCTGATGGCAATGTAGCATTTTCAAATCTAGAATAAATGAGGGCCTCTAAAGGGTCAGTGTACACTTCACTGGGTCCAGTGATTAGTGTTGGTGTCACCGTTTGGGATGTTCCAACATGGTCAACAAGTGGGCATTTTCACTTTCTCAAATGCTGGTTTTTAATAAAAAGAATAGAGGTGGTGATAAGTTCTCATGAGTGACTAACTGAGTCCTGCTTCTTTTCAGTCCACTATAAATCTGTAATCACAACTCTGACTAGACTTTTCCATGAGACATCGGAAGCACTGGGAGGCTCTAGTGCAAATCCAGCTAAGAAGCGGGAAATCGAAGACAATTCAAGGAAAATAGGTGCCTTGTTTGCCAAACTCAACAGTAATGATTTATCACCCACTGCTTCTGATAAGCTTATCCAACTTTGCCGGGCTTTGGACAATAATGATTTTGGTGCAGCTCTACAAATCCAGGTATAGTTTTGGATATACATTTATCTGTCCATGTGATTGCTGGCAATTGAAAATTTCTTTACTTGTTTTATCCCTGTTTACTGAGACAGGTTAATCTCACCACTACGGACTGGGATGAGTGCAACTTTTGGTTGGCAACACTCAAAAGAATGATTAAGACAAGGCAGAATGTGAGATGAAAAAGCTAAAAACATCCACAAGTATGCCATCTCAAGTTAGCACGTTTTTATTTGTGTAGGAATACACTTGGGGTGCAGATCAATACTTGGACATTCACAAGAATGGTTTTTGTTTATTGCTACCTCAGTATTTTGGTTCTTGGGTCCTTAACTCTCCTCCAACAAGATCTTGAATTGGCTTTGACAGTACTTTTTCTTCTGGGAGGAGTCGGTTAGGGGAGATTAGTTTCTAGACATAAGTTTACTTGTTTGTGGTTTTGATATTTTGTAGAATTGATAAATTAGTGTCGGTTCTTTCTTTTAGTTCAGATCATAAACTTTTCACCCTTAATTTTTTTGTGGCCAAATGGCATTAGCGAGCCACTTGATTTGATAAGATGTTGCCTTATCCCATCCCATTTCTTCATGGCCATTAGTTGTATAACCCATATCACATGCACTTTATTATCATCATTAATATAAAAATAGTTTTAACAACATGTTTATGTTTTCATCGTGAATGTTTGGTGGTCCGGTATCGCTCTTGTGCGTCCACTTTTCAGAGGCCCCCTCGTTGTTAAGCCTATTATCTTGTAATGTAATGGTTGTTAATTTTTTGAATCGGGCGTGCTGCTTGGTGCCATGTGAATGTACCAATACTAGCAGCGAAGTAAAAAGGGTTTTTTTTTTTAGAAAAGCGAAACAGGGGAAATGCGATTTGTCCGGGCGAGAAGGTGAAAAGAAGTCAAAAAGGATATGGGAATAGGAAGAAAAGGTCAATCATGTTTGAACATGGGGACAGGTTATTGAGAAAAAGAGCGACATTCCAGGCTAAAGACTTTTTCTATAGCTTGGATTGAATCCATCTCAATCTCAATGAGCATAATGAAAGGCGAGGTATATGAACGAGACTGTAATTGAGTGCGCTGTAAAGCCTTGACGTATGGAAAGGAACACAGATTTTCTTGCTTGCTGCCAACTGCTAGGGGACACTTTGTATCGTGTGTCACAAGTCTTCTTCTCCACTCCACATGAATTTGTCGACAATAAAGAAGGCATCTGGCCTCTACAATAGCTGTCCCTTATGGAGTTAAGCTCGATGTGTGTGCACTTCTTTTCTTGGACCAACTAGTGTGGTTCCCAATTCCCAGAAAATTTGTGAATAAATGTCAAAATGGTGTGTTTCTGTTTGTATGCTTTTGAAGAGAATATTTTCCTCGTGAGAATGTATTGCATTTGAAAATTGAATTGACTCTGGCCTGGGAGGCATTGCAGTGATAATTTTCACCCAGAAAGGATAAGTTGTGAAGTATTTTCTTCTAAGATCAATTATATTCCCAGTTGATTCATGATTTCAGTTTGGTGCTTAAATCATTGTGCTCGAGGAGGAAGGGATCCCTCATCCTCATGACTGAATCATTAAATACAACACTATTTTTGAATTTTGATGACAAAATAATTAAAGTTTTTTCATATTCCTTGGGCATATCTGTGGAATCTTTTACAGTTAGCAAATTATATAACTGCCAACTCTAGTATAACAATATACCAAGTTTGGTTTGGTAATGAGAATCATACAACCAAGATACAAATCAGTAGTATTCTATTTCTAATTTCTATCCAAAGATAAACGATTGCAGGTCACCAAAGATGATGCTGCAAGGGATTTTTTTTTTTTTTTTCGGCTGTCAACATTATTGTTTATCATGTCATCACTAGACATTGGATTTCGATGTATACAAATAATAATAATAAAAATAAAAAATACAGTATAGTTAACCTATAATCCATCTCCCCACAAAAGTCCACACATATAAAAGAGAACTTTATGTTTATCAAGCAAAGACAATTTTAATTTAGAAATAGTATTTCCAACTTTGTGCACCCCCAATTTGGTGGTGCATCATTTAAATAATTTGAACATTTTCAATTTCCTGAAAAGAATATATCAAGTTGAGCCAACTTTGCAAATGTCTCTAGATAAATGACAAAGTGATAGCTGACCTTCAGGACTCAATTATTAAGAATTTGTTCTTATCTTTGTTCTCTTTAGCAAGTGTGCTATACGCTTTGGATGACAGAATCCACAGGTAGATTGTCTCATGCATTTTCTGGAAAGCAACAAAATCACATTTGCAATGTAGCACAGCCTTGAATTTCCCCCCACCAACTTTGGAGATGGAAACGTTCCCAGAAGAAAACGAGCAACATAAACTTTCAAGGCCATTCTTATGCTTACCACAACACTTCTTAAAAAAAAAAAAAAAAAAAGCCCTAAAACTGAAAGAAGAATCAGATGGTCAAACTCACATGTTATTCCTACAGCATTTTCACAGATGAAAAATCACATAAGTATCCTTCTCATAACTTTTCAATCAAACTGATAGATTGATGACACTTTTTATTATACATAAGCTTTGCAGCAAAATCAAAGTGAAAGAAAGGAAAGAAAAAGATTAACAACCTATAAGATGGACATCAGCAATGTCCTTCTGATCTACAGGAAATCAACGAACACATTGACAATTAGAGAACAGATAGAATGTGAATTCCTTAAAATCCACAAAGAAACGAGCTAATAAACACAAAACCAGTTTGAGGTTCAACAGATGCTTAGGAGCCTGCCACCTTCTGCTCCTTGAACTGCTACAATGAACCATCATCAAGAGTGCGAGAACTTAAATGTGGTTGAGCATCTTTTCTTGAGAATATTTCTGAACTTTCTCCTGCTGATTGATTTCGCCTCAAATGGATGAGACCTTTATCATTATCACCAGCCTCATATTGACCTTTCCCTCTATTACCATATCTTCTACTTCCAAATCTAGAACTAGAGACCCGACTTCTGGATTTTAAACCAGGCTTTTGAATCCCATCAGCCTCTCCCCAGGCTTCTGAGTCTCCCTCAAGACTAGCCAGGCCCATAAGTTCCATCAAATTGCTACTGAACCCCAAATCTGAGTACACTCTCCTTGTATCCTTGGGGTCTTGGACGTCAAACTTACCATCTAAAGCATCTGAATTCTCCTTGTTACCTCTCAGTTCAACAGGGCGCCCCATTGTCTCCACCATTAGACATGGATTATTGAAACCATTCCATGAATGAAGAGGAACCAATTTGCTCAGAGCTGTTAACCAACCAACAATCTCTTTCATTGCAGGCCGTCTCTCTCTACAAGACCTCACACACTTTGCTGCAATTACAGCCAACTGCTTCCTAACAACAGGATCTTTAGGAGGTGCAATTCTTGGATCATAGACAGAAACAATCTTCCCTTTCTTCACAAGAGGGATCGCCCAATCCACAATAGAAGGTGGTGAATGCCCAACATCAATAGCTTTTCTACCACTAATGATCTCCAGCAACAAAATCCCAAAACTAAAGACATCTGTTTTTGTACTCAAATTATCAGGGGTCACATAACATGGATCAAGATATCCCATAGTCCCCGCAGGAGGAGTAGATCTAAGCCTATAATCATCAACACCACACCTAAGTGCCAGCCCAAAATCCCCTAATCTTGCATTAAAGTTCCTGTCAATTAACACATTTGCTGATTTCACATCCCTATGAATTATTGGTGGTTTTTGTGCGTGAAGTGTCTCTAAAGCCTTAGCAACTTGCAAAGCCAATCGAATTCTCCTACCCCAATTTAAAGGCCTTGAAGAATTAGAGTGAAGAAAATCATACAAAGTGCCATTACTCATGAACTCGACGACCAACAAACGATCTTTAGAGTCATTTGAGAAGCCAAGAAGATTCACCAATCTTGGGCTGTGAATCTTGGACAGGATTTCGATCTCGTTATCAGCCTCTTGGTTGGTCTCTTGATTCCTCGACGATGGTTTCTTGATAGCCACATGTCGGCCCCTGAGAACGGCCTTATAGACAGAACCGTGGCTGCCCTTGCCGAGAAGCTTCTGGTCAGAGAAACCATTGGTGGCAGCTTCAAGGTCGCTGTAATCAAACTGCTGGATCTTGATGGGTTTTTCCTGCTTATTCAGACCCACTTTGGAAGATGAATTCTGGGTCGAGGCGGAGGTGGAGATTATGGAGATTGCCGATTCCGCCTTGCAAGAAAGGTAACCCATTGAAGAAATACGCGTTGAAGGGGAATTCTGAAATGGGTACTTGTGGTTTTGCAGGAAACATTTATCAAGACTCAGTCTTTTTTAATCACTTTCTCCCTCGCCATAGCTTAGAACAAGGGCAGAAGAAAGAGTCTCCCATTTAGCTAGTCAAAAAAGAGTTTTACCTTGGAGTGATTCTTGGGATTGGAAATCCAATCCAGCTCCGTTTTATTTATTTATTTAAGGCAATGAAACAGTTAAGGAGATATAGAAAAAAATAATAATAACAATAAACCGTTGATTCGAGTAAAATGAATTTAATTTTTTAAAATAAGTTCTTAAATTTAATTTTTTGAATGGAGAAATAAGTATTAGAAGAATTTTTTTTAATGAGATCCAACGTGACTTGATTCTCAATTAATTGAGATTCAATATAATTATCGAATATTGAGAGATTAATAAAAATTAATAATAATTTAAAATTTATTTTTTAATTAATCTTATATGTTATTTATGTTCTTATTTGTTTAAATTTCATGATATTTACTATATTTATTTTATTTAATAATATAAAAAATTATTAAAAAAAGATTATTTCTATATTATTGTTAAAAAAAATTATTGATGAAAATGGGTTGGGTGATGAGATGAATAGAGAGGAGAGCCCACCAAACTGGAATCCCATGGACCATTTTACAGGTAAAGCCTTAAACCCAACAATCATGCCTTGAATTATGATTCCTTTATATGATTTGCCCCCAGTGGGGAGTTGGAAACCTCAATTTGAATCTTTAAGTTGAGTAGGAAGGATTATAAGAATAGAAAGGTTATTTCACATTATATTATATAGTTCAATCATTTGTTGCCAAAATAAGATTTGAATTTTAGATGTAACATGTTAACAACTGCGTTATCCTGTTGTCCGGTTGCTGCTAACTAATTCGAGTGGGCAACAAGCCAGACACATCTTGAAAGGTGCCCCCAAACTCCCTTCCCCACACTTTATTCGTTTATTGCGGTTTTCCTTTTTCTTTCTTTCTTTTTTTTTTTTATGGGTCGAACCTGCACTTACTCTTAGTTTGGATTAAAGAAGTTGGAGAGAAAAGGAAAGAGA